GGTATTTTGTTATTTGTAGATAAAGAAATCAGTCATGGCAACCGGTTACAATACTAAAACTTCTGCTGGACAAGCTGCTGTAAATTCAAAGAGTAACCTGGGAAAGATACCTGCCAATATCATAGGCCTACATGAGGCAGTTTTTGATGGTGCTCCATGTTAGATTCTTTTCTGCTATGAAGGTATTGCATAGATGATGTGACATTTGTGTGCATTGCCCATTTAGTGAGTCATAGACTCATAACTATTGTAGAGTTGAAGGATATTTTGTGATACAATTTCTTGTAATGGAAGTCTATTAAGTTAATTTTTCCTTTTAAATCTGTTTAGTTTTTTGTTTTGCTTGCTAAAGGCATCTCTAATCACTTAATGAACTAGACCTCTAATGATAAAAGTACCCAAAAATAAGTATGTGTATCATGATGTGGATTATTTAACTATTGAAAACAAGTAATGCTCCTAAATATGGAGTCTCGAAAGATATCAGTAAATGTTTTAGAGAACCAGATGCTCTAATTATAGGTTTGATATAATGTTAACTTATGCAGTTATGTTTTATTTTTTATAATCATATGTGCATATATACAAATTTACATATAAGCGTCATGAATACATGGAATGAATTGCTTACTTTTTTTTTTTTTTTTTGCTTAAAAGAAGGAACTATTTTTTATTGAGGACAATTATTGCTTATTGTAGATGCTTTGCATTGGACATTTCAGGTATTTCTTGCTGGTATGTATGTATCCTTTCAGTTCCTACCTGACCTTGAATGTAGAATTTGCTATATTTTATGCTAAAGGGAAGGATGTTTTCCCAGTTCAGATTACCTTTTGATGAGTAGAAATTATCGAAACCAAATGCCAAACTATTGGTATCCAGAATCTGATAACCCTAGAAATATCTTACCCTCTGAATTGTTGAAGCTCTGAGATCCTCTCCACAACCATTGATGAACGGAAGCCTGAAATCTTGTAGATAAGCCATACCACAATCATTTTCTCATCTCTCTCGGTTTTCTCATTTTCATTTCTTTCACTGCTTTAAAATATTTTAAAGGAAATAAAACAAGGTGGATAGAATTCTTCCACTAGTTGTCTAGACAGAAAGCTATAAGTTTGAAGACATCACTTGTCAAACCAAATGTTTAAACATGCAAGATTCAAATGAGAAATGTGTGGGGTTTAACAAGTGGCTGAAATAGGTAATTTCTAGCTGGTACGATATTTGCTTTGGCCTTCATTAATTTTGAAAGACATCAATATATTACTTACCTGTCTAGGACTTTCTAACTAGACCACATTTAGTTTGATGATATTGCATTGAGGATTCTGGTTCAGGTTCTTGAGTGAAATGATGTTTTTTGGAGCAAAATGTACATCTAGAATGAAGTTGTCTGCAAAATAGATTTTTGATTTATTTGCAGCACCATGTTTAGTGCTTATTTTTTTTCTGTAGAAGATTGTGTTTTCTCTTGCGTGTCTTAGTAATTTTATTTCATGCAGGTTAAACTTTGAGAAAAGAATAATTGTGTGGATAGATGGAAACCGAGATTTTTCAGATTGACTCTGGATGCATGGTGTTTGCTTGGATATTTTGTGTAGTATTCTGATGCTAACTACAAGTAGGGAGAAACTATAAAATTTCTAAGATTATGCCTTAGGTATGTTCCGCCACCGACTTGTTTATGTAGTGGAGTTCCATTTTGCTGGCAAACTCTCATGTGGTTTCCTCCTCCTGCAGAGGTGAGGCGCATTTTAAACAGTTCTGAAAAGACACAGATCCTTCTTGTATCTCTATATGACTGCAAATGACTAAAATATGGTAATTATCAGGATGAAAAAAATGTAGATGGGTGAAATAATATAATTTAAGAATCATTTTTTTGAATTAAATATTATGTTTATCAAAACTTTAATATTTTAATCTCATTAAATTATCTCATTATCTTCATGCCATTTTATAACATTAATCATGCATTGACATCATGACCATGTATATCTTTCAAAGATCATCTAACTAATGGGTAAGCATTAGTACATGGCTTAATCACATCAATATATAATCAATTCATAATCATAAGAATTAATTATGTTAAATCTTAAACTTTAATAACTAGAAGCTTATACTTCATGCCATTTTCCATCCATTTCCTAAATGAATTGGCTCTTGGCCTAAACATAAAAGTTGTAGGGCTATGTCTTAAATTTCTAGTGCTTCAAGAATCATCTCATTTCGATTTTTATGACTCAAGTTATGGTCGAAATACTGAAGCATGTTTAACATAACCCCTAAGCTTACCAAATCTAATTTTTTCATATTAAACTAGGTCACATCAATTCCTATTGACAATTAACTAATAGGTCAACTTATGGATCAAATAAACCTCACCTTAATAGTCTTTAACATCTTAAAGGAAGTGTAAAATCTCATTCCCATAATCATCCATTATTGTTATAACATTGTAAGCTAATGCAAACAAAACATCAACACTTCTAATATCAATCATTCAACATCATGTGGCCTCCAATACTACAAGTTTTGCCACAATGAACATCCACACTTCATTTTCTTCAATCAAACATAACAACTCATAAAACATAAATAGCAATAACTTTATGTATAATGAATTCAAGGTAATAAATAGAATAAATGAGTTCAACTACACTTGCCATAAACTAATTATATGTCGTAAAGTCTTAATTTAAGGTTTCATTAAAATCTACAAACCCTAGCATAATCCCTAAAGTCATGGGAGGTTCTTCCTTACCTTTTTAAAGAATTCCTCCAACAAATCCTTTGCCTTTGTCTTCTTTCATACCTTTTTAAAGATTTCCTTCAACAAATCATTTGCCTTTGTCTTCTTTCATACCTTAATCCTATATATATAACATTAGACCTCAACATTTACTTCAAATCTTCAAATCACATCAAAACTAGGGTTTTTAATCCTTACCTTAAACCCTTCAACTGGAAGATCCAAGGCTCCTATCTTGTTCTCCTTGAAAAATAATGCAAAACTTCTTTAAAACTTAGAGAGAGAAAACTTGTTTCATGGAAGATTTGAGAGAAAATGGAAGAAAGGTTGAAGAAATGCTATTTCCCTTGGCTTGAATGAATTTCCTCTCATATTTCATTAATTTTCCAAAATTATGCTATTGACCCAATTATTTTAATTGTATAACTCATAAGTCCTTAATTCTTTATATAAGGGCATTTTGGTCATTTTGCACTAAACATAATTATTATTTAGTTAATGCCATTAAATGCAATTAAGCCTACTCATTCTTGACTTTTTCAATGCTTATCCATAGGCAAAATGACTATTTTGCCCTTAATACATTTCCATAGATAATTGATTCATACCGTTCCAAATGAATTGACTATTTTGCCCTTAGTTAGATTTTATGCTTTTTAACATAAAATTAACATCTAAAGGATTATTTTGAGTTAGGAATATACCTTTAACATCTTGGGTATTACAAAACTGCTCATTATGGACCTACAATTCATAACACATCATACACAAATTCATTAATAAACTCACTAAGAGAAAGGAGTAAGAAGGGGGAGTAAGGCTAACATTATTCTTGAGTAATTCTCAAATTTGATGGGAGGTTTTCTTGATTTTTTTCTTAGGGGGCATTTGGTTGGAGGTTATATGGGATTACTGGAGTTATGTCATCTTATATTACTTGATTACTACGTTTATGTGTCAAGTAATATAAGATTCCGATAATCTTCAAATACCAATAGTGTTTGCGGTTGGTAATATTGGAGGTAATCTGATAACCTTAATTTTCTTAGATATTGTAAAATTACCAAGGTAATCTTATTTTTGTTACAATTATAGCTCTTATTAATAAAATTTTAGGACAATAATACCCTAATTTTTAATTTTACTTACATGAATCTGAGTTTTACTATTTCACCCTAATTAATTAACTTTTTGGACAAAATTACCTTTGAATTCAAAACAAATTGCAGCTTACCCAAGCCACTACCCCCACCCACTTGTTGCCACCCAAACCACCGTCGGAAGTCACTTGGAGTCGCCATGAGTAGTCGAGAGACACTAGGAGGCTCTGATATGGCCTTTTTTGGCCATATTGATGGCCGAAAAGGCCATATTAGAGTAGATGTGACCGAAAATGGCTTTATTGGCCATATTTGGATGAGATATGGCCGTTAACGGCCAGATCCATTGATCTGGCCAAAAACGGCCAGAATAGATCTGGCCAGAAACGGTCATATTGGAGCCTCCCAACGACTCTCGACCATTTTTAGTGACTCCGGTGACTTTCTGGTGGCGGTCGATGATGGTTGGCAATGACTTGGGGTGGTGGGGTTTATTTTGTTTTAAATTAAAGTTTTATATAAGCGAGGTGTTTTAGTTAAATATGAAATATTAGGGATTAAAAAATTAATAATAAAAATAATATTATATTAATATTTAAAAAGAGGGTAATTTAATAATTTAAATAATATACCCGTCAATTTATTTCTCTCAACTAAATATATTAATATAATATACCCATAAATTTATTTCTCTCAACTAAATATATTAATATAATATACCCATAAATTTATTTTAACTAACCAAATATATTCTTTTTAATACTCTTTAAGAATAATCTTTAAAGTAATCTAATATTTTAATAATCCAATATTTTAAGTAATCCAATATTTATCGAAGAAAGGCGCCTTCACAGTTAGCAATTTAGATTTTCGGTGAACGTTATAAGTGGAAACTGATAATAAATTTTTTATTTTAATATTTTATTATATTCAAAACCACAGTAAAATTTTTGTTATTTTTCATGGTCAGGGAGATATAAAGCATAATAACCCAGCTAAATTTAAACAAAGAATTGAATCTCGTACTTAAACGAGCCATTTTTGCATAAAGCGGGCGAGAGAACAATTTCCTAACACCCAGAGAGAGACCATAACCATAATTCCCAGAACAATCCTCATCCCAATTTTCCCTCCACTCCTCCATGGACCAACAACAACCACCACCACCACAAACTCCTACACCTCCCACCACCACCGCTGAACCACCCTTACAACCACCACCGCCACAACAACAAGAATCACCATCACCGTTACCCTCCACCACCTCAACTCCTCCAACCCCTACATCAAACCCTAACCCTAACTCTAATCAGCCCCAACCCCCAAAACCCACACTCACACCACAACCCAGACCGACCTCATTTTCCAGACCCTGGCAGCAGCAACAACAACAACAGCCCTCACATTTTTCTCACTTCTCTTCCCTTCCTTCTTCCCCTTCTTCTTCTCCGTCTTCCTCTGCTTCCGCGCCGCAGAGGGGTGGCATTGCCCTTGGCGTTCCGGCGCCCCGCCCTGCGGCGTCTTCTTCGCAACCCACANAATATGAATATGAATACGGTATTTACATATGCTATGTTCTTGCTAAATTAAAGATTGATTTTGCTTCACAATAGACATAGCTGATTCCGAAGTTTGAGTGTTTTGTGTTAAAGATAATGTTTAATTGATGAGTCTATATGCGTACATTAAACTTGGAAGACTGTTGGAGACGTTCTGTTACCTCAAGTTTGTTGTTAAATCTTGTTGTTGAGTTTTATGGCAGCTTTATATTACATTACGTTAAAGTTTCATAGGAGAATAAAAAATTGGAAGTCGGCTGATTTCTTATCTCTTTGTGTAAATTGAATGGATAGACCGGTAATCGTCTATTGCTGATTGGCCAAATGTTATTGGGAAGACAAATGAGTCAAAGAGGCTGCATTTTATGATATTTCCCCAAGTTTTACTGTTACTTAATTAGGTAAAATTCATAATGGCTAGCATGATAGTCTCTTCCTCCTCGCTTTTCTCTGGGGTCGCAATCTATCTATAAACAGGCCTAGAAATGTATTCATCTCCTTGGGGCTTTTGAGGGGGTCTCTTTCCATGAAGGTTTTGATAAAAGAGTATGGATTCTTGAGAAGTCAGGTAATTTTTCATGTAAGTCTTTTTAAACTGATAACCCAACACACCCTTTCCTGAACGCTATGGATTGATTTGGAAGGATAAAGTTCCAATAAATTTGTCATGGTCTATTACTCTAAAGAGACTAAACTCTGATGACATAACTCAAGGAAAACCAAGGATGTGTTTATCATCGAATTGGTATATTATGTACAAGGAAAACTCTGAAAGCACTTAACAACTTTTCCTACAGTGCTCCATTGCCATGCAATCATAGCTTAATGTTGTTTCAGATTTTAATGCTTTCTTGTCAGACCCTCTCTTTTTGTTCATTTTTCATGGAAAGGTTATCACCTTTTGGAGGTAAATGGAAAGTAGCTCTTTTGTGGGATAGAGCAATCATGGGTATATTCAAGGTATTACGGACTGAGAGGGATATAAGAGATTTTTCAAAGGCAGTTTTGGGGAAAATTTCTCATTCTTACGAGAAATAGTAAAGTATAGATAACTCTCTAAAATCTTGGGCCCGAGCTGGAATTTTTAAATGTAACCGACGCCTAACCTGGGCAAGCTTGACCTGGGCCTGGGTATTTTCATCCCTAGTTGATAGTAAAAAATGGATGCGTGAATATAGGGAAGTGATTTTTAACTCTTATTCAGTTGATCAGTATCCACCATTGCTAAATACATCTTTCCTATAATTAAAAAAAAAAAAAAAAAATCTCTTTAAACCTCATTTAATACTAAAAATAGCCCTATAAGGTTAATTAGGTTTATTTTCCTCAATTTCAAACTTAATTGTGGTTTTTGGTTTTACACCATTTTTCCCCAATCTCAAACTTAATTAGGTTTTTTGTTTACATACTGTTTCCCCTAATTTCCTAATGTAAAATTTGGAAATTACTTTTTCTTTTTTAAAATTCATATTCATCTCATTGTGTGATTATTTTTTCTATGTTTTAGTATTATATTTTCATCAAACAATCAAATATTTAAAAAAACAAATTGCTTCAATGGTTATGAAAATTTATGGTAGTGTTTATGTAAGATAAAAGATTAAAAATTAAAACCCAAAAACTAAATAGAGATATAAGTGTATTATAAAGTATTTTTGTATTTTTAATTAAATTAAACTTGTTAAAAAGAAAAAACTAAATTTAAAAGTGAGAGATAATGATAAAGTAGACGGGGCTAAAAAATCTAATTTCCACATGGATATATTGGCATCCTATTATGAGTTCAAGAAACTCCGCTTTTTAATTAACTTTTTAAAATGTCAAATTATCACTATATTAACTTATCAAATTAAGTTTAATTTCTAATTCTTTACAATACTTTTGACACCCTACAGTTATCTTATTTAATTTATAATTAATCAAAATTGAATTAGAAAAATAAAAAATTAATCCAAATTGCAGTTTAACAATTTACCCTCCTTAATATTCTAATTGACAAGGAAATTACTAATTACCCTTACTTTATATCTTAATATTGTACCTAATACCAAAAGTTTGAAATCTTACAAAACCACCGCTAAAAAAATAGTCAGTCTCTACAAGTTGAATATTGCAAACATACCCCGTGACATTAGGTTTTTGATTGTTCCGGCCACATTATGATAACCAAAATTCAATCTGATTTACACACTTGACGCCATTCGCGCCCCTTTACAAAAACTCATCTAATTAGAACTTGTAGCCCTCGTTCGTTGGTCGGGACTCACATATTGGTTGATTTTCCACCAATTTCTGGTCGATTCTGGTGTCCAAAATTAATCCAACACCACCTATGAAACACTGGTCTCACTCTACATATCCTCTAACTCCAGCATTTGATAGCCTCGTCGACGATCAAATTAGAGATTTGGTGAACAGACTTGAAAATAGTAAACTGGAGCGGACGAGGGCATCGGTTACTGGTCAGTACAGTCCAATTTTCAAAAATTGTTTTCAAGTTCATGATAGACCGGTCACAATCCCCTCCTTGAGATCCAAGACGCCCTTGTAAGACTGGACTAGCTAGCTATTTGCTAACTAGCTTATTATCGATGAAATCAAAGCCCCGAGAGAAGCAGAGGAGAGAAAAAAATCAGTAAAGTTTGTTTTGTTTTTGAATTTTGAATTTTTTTTATTGTGTCAAGTGTTTGGGCTCCACACCGAGTTGAGAGTTGTGAGATACTATACGTGTATGTAGCGGATTGCATGGGAAAGGTAGTTTTGGTGGTCCCACTGAACATTCTCCCATCATCCATTCATCTTTGTTTGTTTCCATTACGAGTAATGTTATAGCATCGAACATTTTATACCGAATTTTTGTTACTGAAGGACATGACAATCATAAGACAAGACTATGCTGCGAGTCTTTCATGAATGAACGGTCATCAACATTATGGACGTCCACCCATATTATGGACTCCGTTCATATTATATGGAGACGGGTTTGTCCATTTACTATGGACGGGCGTCCATATAGATGGACAACCCGTCCAAAATATTTTAAAAGAAAATAATGAATGGCTGCTTCCATCTTATATGGACAGGTGTCTATTTACTATGGAAGCCCGTCCAAAAAATTTTAAAAGCAAATAATGGTGCCTGTGATTATTAACAGACGTCCGTGATTATTGAGAACCGTTCACCTATAATGACGCCCGTCCATGAGAAAATACACTGGACTCTCGTTTATATAATATGGACGGGAGTCTATTTACTCAATGGACGGACTTCACCTAAGAATGGATACCCGTCCATTGTTTAAAAAAAAAAAAATTAAACAAAAATTAGGGACGTGCCGTCCATATAATATATGGACGGAGTCCTATCTTCAATGACAGAACGCGTTCCTTTTAGATGGACGCTTGTCCATTGTTGATTTAAAATTTTTTACAACATTTTGAGTCTCAATCAAAAGTAAATGTTGCTATCTTCATTAAAAATTTTTGTTATATTAAAGTAATGGACAAGTGTCATGGATAAGGCATAAATTTTTGTCTATATTTGGACAAGTGTCATAAGAATAGGCACAACTCAATTAGGATCACAATTTGCATTAAAAAATTAAATTAAAATTTGTTAATATTAAAGATGGTCCCTCTGAGGATGCACCGTCCAAACAATTTAGGCCAATTTTTTTAATTTAAAAAGAAGGGCGTCCATTCTAGTGTGACGGCGCGTCCATATAATATGGACGGGAGTCCATTTCAAATGAAGACCGTCCAATAACAATGGACGGTAGTCATTTCGCGGAATATTTGTTAAACGTGATACTGACTCCTCTGATTCAGTGGACTGTCATTCGGGTAAAATTCATGCAAAGTGTTGGTGTCGTAGCATTTTTCTTCTGTATAGGTAACTGTATAATTTATTTTTTGAAAGTGTCTCTTTTAGTTTTTTCTCTTTTCACTTAACTTTGTTTTGCAATTACTAACGACAGCACACTCCATGCAATTTCACAAAGGGGAAGAGTATACATTTCCCTTTAAATGGACTAGAAATGATAACTGTAAACCCCCTCCAGTCAAGCATCCTCTGCAATATCCCTCAATGAGAATCCCGGGAATACATGTTATGAGAACGAGTTGTATTTAGAAAAACCTGTGTAGGATAATAATAAATATCAAAACATTCATATAAGATGTCAGCGAGGATCCAAACTTATAATTTCAAAAACTTTAAGAATTTATCCGAAATTACACAATCAAACATATTTATAGGGTGGAAGCTTCCAAGGTGTTTCACAAACATTTATCATTTACATTATTTACATCAAGATAAAAAATATCAAGATGACATAAAATTATCTCCCCTCACGTGTAGCCCAACTGTCTCTAGCATCTTCACTTTTGGTCTCTACTGCAAAACAATCAATAATGAAAGGTGAGCGTTAATCCGCTCAGTAAGGAATGATCCATTTTATTCTAAGTGCTATTGACCTTCATATAAACCATATTGTTAACACACGACTTATCTTTTACATCTAGGTATACATCCTTTTTTTTTTTTTTTTTTTCCTAGTTTTTAATGTTTTCATCATTTTTATCCCAGGCTATATAAATCCAATGCATATACATACCAATAAAGTATTGTAACATGGTACACCCCACATTACATATCTGAATATAACATCTAATATCGCTCTAACATGAGTTATAAATCATCTCATGATGTAAATAACATCATAACTCATGTAATGCAACTAAATGCATATGAACGCATTTAACGTGTAGCCTATCGGACTTTTTCTTACGTTTAAGCACTTCATATATACTAGCCTCAAATTCATCTAGAGCTCATATCTCAGGAGGCGTGCTTACACGTTATTAGCATCTAAAATATATTCATCTTTCCTCAACTGGTATAGAGGATATGCTTACATGTTTTCCATCATGTCTATATGCATCCTTAACACCTCTATGGCATGTAAATACATATTTTAGTGAGCTTAATACTTTTGATCATTTATGGATTATCAATCCATTTAATTACCTCTTGCTTACATTCATCATCTTAAA